AACTGCGCCCACGTATCATCAAATTCGGTCTATTACAGAGCCAGACACCGAACTCGAAGAACTGCCGTTGCTTCCAAGCTCGACGCCAACGCCATCAACGACCAGTACGACCACAACTAACTTGCAGTCCACACCAGCAATCGACAACTCTCCGTGCACGACAGGTGATGCCTCTAGAGAAAACAGAGCGAGAGTACGCCGCGCACCGCAACGACTGGTGTTCGACCCGAGGAAGAAGACGTACACCTAGTGTCTATCTTAAGGGGGAGGTGTTGGATAGGTCGAGGCGATGGTGGTCATTGTTGGCCAGTGAGACGGTGGATGGTCTGCCAGTCATTCCTGATTGGCAAATGAACTGGTTTTTGCCGCCCAAATGTTGATCTCATGGGGTATATAAACCCCAGTGTTTTTGTTGATTTCGTTCGACTAATAAATATTCTTCTACTGCCAACTCTGCCTACTGCTCTCGGATTCAACAAAAGCCTAGATGGGAAAAATGGAGAAAGATTCAGGATGCTCGTTCAGTGACTCTGATGCTAACACGATGTTTTTTAAAAACTTACTGGAGTTAAGTGTGCAAAAAATGCAAAACTTCTGGCTCGTTTTGCCAGAGAGCTTTACGGTTACAGAGCTGAGAGTGTTTGCGTGCCACTGCCATCCAGCTGGTCAGGCCTATTACCACTAGAAAAGTTCGAAAAAGTTTTTCTTGCTGAAATCTCGTGTCTTCTTCTTCTTCAGCGTTTGCCCCGCACTGCAGCAGGGTCCGCTTGCCTTATTTTGTCACGCCACTTCTTCCAATTAAATGCTTGATCGGGATGGGTGCCAACTATCTTCAAGTCTGCATGCAACGTGTCTGACCACCGCTGCTTGGGGCGTCCCTTAGGCCGCTTTCCGAGAACTTAAACGAGCTCAAGACCAATCCTACGGACGGTGTCACAACTCGCGCGAAGAACGGTGACCATACCATCGAAGGCGAGCTTCGCGCATTTTCACGGCTATGGGAGCCACACCAAATTTCTTCCTTATGTCGTCATTGCGTATGCGATCCATGCGCGTGACACCGGCAGTCTACCGCAACATTTTCATCTCCATGACTCCGAGGCGCTCTTCAACTTCTCTGGTCGTGGGCCAACATTCTGCACCGTATATCGCGACTGGTCGAACGACGGTCCTACAAATCTTCGATTTGAGGCGATCTGGCATCGTCTTTTCGCAAAGAATGCTAGTCATAGACCGCCACTCAGACTAGGCTGCAGTTACAAGCGCGCTCGTTGAGTAGAGACTATCGTCAGACGTAATTGTTGATCCGAGGTATTTGAACATTATCGCTCGCGTGAGCACACTTCCGCTGACCCTAAGAGAACCAGACTCGTCCGGGTCAGTCGTCATGTAGTCGGTTTTCTTGACGCTCAATCTGAGCCTGAAGTTTGTCAAACGTTCTCCAGGCTTGCACTTGTTACTCAGACCAATCTTATTCTCGCAGGCGAGCATCACATCGTCAGCATCGAGAAGTGTCCAGGGAGCCGGCTTCTGGAGGTCCCGTGAAATGGCGTCATTACGACAACAAAGAGCAGCGGGGAAAGCGCTGTGCCTTGGTGCACCCCACCTGTGATGGGGAACCCCATTGAAATGCCTGCTGGATTTCGCACTCGACTCATCGGGCTGAAGAGGATGCGTACTCACTCAATCAGCTCTTCGGGAAGGCTGTGCTGCAGTAAGGCATACCATATTTCACCAACACGGTCGAATGCCTTCTCCAGATCAAGGAAGGCTAGGTGAACATGCTTCTTCTTCTCACGATGTTTCTATAGTAAGAGACGAGCGGCATGTATTGCGTCGATGGTGCTACAGCTAGTCATGAAGCCACCCTGGTTGGTGGACAATTGGACGATATCACGAACACGCTTATCAGCAATTCGCTAAAAAATTTTCATGCTGTGCGAGAGCAAGCGAATTGGACGATAATTTGAGCAGTCTGCAGGACTGCCTTTTTTCTTTCCGAACGGTACCGTTATGCTCTCTTGCCATACTTCGAGCATTTTCTTCTCTACAACGACCTGATTGAAGGACATTGTCAACCATTCGGCAGCATGCCAGCAGTGTGACTTCCATACTTCGACAGCCAGGGCCCGTTGCTTTGTCTGGCTTCATCTTCTTGAGAGCCGCCTCCGTTCCCTCCACGCTTATCTTCTCACGGGACCGTATGTTGGTAAGGCGCAGGGGATGACCGATGTTCATATCCCACTGTGGAAAGTTCTCCGAAGTGGTCGCGCCATCGCCTCAGCACTTTTGTTCGGTTCATCAAAAGGCGGCCCTTTTCGTCATTGATGCCGAGGAACTTGTCTACATCTTCGGTCTGGAGGTGACGAGCCTTGGCGAGTCGGTAGATGTGCCGCTCGCCATCCCGCGTTTCCAGCCTCTTGCTGATATCTTCGAAGTGAGCGGCTTTTGTAGCAGCTACAGCCTTCTTTGCCGTACATCTCGCTTCCTGATACTTCCTCCAGTTGTCAGGACTTGTGTTTGAGGAACAAGTGATAGCGCTTCTTCTTCTCGTGAACCTTTGGCCTTACGTCATTTGTCCACCACCATGGCTGCTTTTCTATTCTACGCCTTCCAGGTTTCGTTGTGCCTAGTTCGGAGCGAGCGGCCTGAACTATCGCTTTGGCGGCATTCACTTGTTTCATCGACAGTTGTGACAGTTGGTAATAGAATGCGAGAGATCACAGCTACCTCGTTCTCCTTCAAACGCCACCGTTTGATTCTTTCAGGTCCACATCGCTCTATCCTGGGTGGTGTTATCTTCAGCCTACAGATAAGCGGGCGGTGTTGCGAGGCTACTGTCTCATACGGCACGATCTTCGCGTCTGTGACAAGTCCTTGATCGCGATGCCTGACAAAAACAAAGTCTATTGGCGTCCTGGTGTTCCCGCTGTAAAAGGTAATCAGGTGGGAGTCGCGTTTACGGAACTCTGTGTTCACGATGGCGAGATTATGGGCTTCTGCGTGTTCCAGTATGCGTTCGCCATCGATGTTACATGTTCCATAACCGAAGGCACAATGACAACTGTAACCGTCTTTCGTTGCGCCTACGTGCCCGTTGAGGTCACCAGCGACAATTATGACGTCCTCTGACGGTGCCTCAGCTGTCTTCTCCTCAAGCAGTGTCCAAAACTCATCCATTGATTGTTCAGCGCATCCATTTGCGGAGCATATGCAAAGAACTAGTACAGTCGTTGCTCGACAGCTGGGACAATCCTCATCAAACGATCGTCGAAACGTTCCACGCTAGCTATTGAGTCACGGAAACGTTGAGAGACGATTATGGCCACTCCGTTAGTAGTCCTTGGTTTGCCACAAAAAACGGCCTTGAAGCCGCGACCAATGTCGCTCGACTTGCAACTGGACCATGTTGTTTCCTGCACTGCACAGAGATCGAGCGTTTATACTTTGCGGCAGCGTAGCGCAGCGTAGCGTAGCGCTTCCAGACGCCAGCGGCAGTGCCGAAGAGAGGATGCATATCGATCTAGCTTCACCAGCGTCACCAGCGGCACGCTGGCGTAGCGAGGGCACGGGAAGCATAGCTATCGATCTAGCTTCACCAGCGTTTCTCGAGCGTTTCTCCAGCGGCACCAGCGTTTTGCTAGCTCTTGCACGGCAGAAAGTAGAGACTATGTGGCCGTGAAAGACGTGGAATCAACGTGTACTGTAGAGACTATGTGGCCGTCGGAGACGCAGAAGCGATGTGCATTGTAGAGACTATGTGGCCATCGGAGACGCAGAAGCGATGTGCACTGTAGAGACTATGTGGCCGTCGGAGACGCAGAAGCGATGTGCATTGTAGAGACTAAGGGCGAGTGAGAGACGCGCAATCGATGTAATTTGTACCCTCCAGCTCTCCCATAGTCTCTACTGCCGCTGGTGACGCTGGTGAAGGTAGATCGATATGCATCCTCTCTTCGGCACTGCCGCTGGCGGACGCTGGAAGCGCTACACTGCACTACGCTACGCTACGCTGCCGCAAAGTATAAGCGCAGCCATACGGACTTTACACGCTACACTGCCTGAAATTTGGACTAGCCTGGTCGCCTCCCGATGCCGTCCTTGCATCGAGGACCCTCGCATACTTTCCACATACGAGTGCGCGTCGGCTCCCGCGGACGCCGTAGCATTATCGCCATATACATATGGCATGATCAGACATGATGATGTGACATGGGTGTTCGCAGGCCGGCCCGTCACGGAGGCCTGTCACCTGCATTCGTGTGTCTGCGTTTAGCAACTCACAAAGCGAGCAGTACCCAGTGGCACCGCAGGGAGGAGCAAACGTTCCACCTAGCTGAAATCTCGTATGGTAATTAATGGCCCTGATCACGATTCTGACAGTTATTTATGGCGCCAAGGTAATCTGGGGCCAACGCGGCGCTTAATGACCACTGCGAGCGGGAAGAGACGCTGCATGTACTACTAAAGAAATTTCAATGTACCTCACTGTATGCCAAGTAAGGCACCAAAATTTTGACCTTACTTTACGTTGTTTTGCATGCCTAGTTGGGAACACCTTATAAACTATATGTACTCAGCTATACAGCTGAAACAGAGCCGAATGAGATGATTGAATTTGCCTATTGTGAGCAATTCGTTTTTATTCCTTCTTTGGCATTTCCAACAGCTCTTATCAAAAATGAATTCCACCTGTGTTGTCCATGTATAGACCCCTACATCATGCAAAAACCGGTTTTCGAAAAGCCCACCACGACCCGAACGACCCCCTTGTTAGGTCACGATCGTGCATCACCTCCACTCAGATTGGGACCTACCAGTGAAAATACTGCCAAATACAGAGAATCCGTTTTTCTTTCCTGATGGTCCCTTACTAGCCTTCGGATTTAACGTCAATGTAAGCTGGGATGGCTTGAAAATCACAGCCTACCCGTTTTGCAGTTGGTGGCATTCTGGAAGGATCATCAATTTCAACAGCGATTTTGGAATATCGAAAAAAGATGTGGCATATATTCAAGGTAACGCTACGTCTCTTTGAAGCGATCATGTCAGCTATATCACTTAAGACGTTTGTTTATATATTTATAGGTTGACGTGTCCATTTGGCCTCCAGCACAACTGATCTCATTTTGGTTCTTACCGCCGCCCGTTCGGGTCGTCTATGTGAATATTGTGTCATTAATTTATAATTGTATCATGTCCTACATAAAAAACAACGATGTAAGTGAAATAAAAAAACTGGCATGAACCCTTTCCCAGTATGTTTCATACACCAATGGATTTTTCGATTTCGACTATATGGAGTACCTGTCTTTCGTTAACAGCTGCGATATTTCTGCATTCAAAAAGCGAATGCTACTGGCAGGCAAAGGTTTTGTACTTCACCACCATTGAGCGCAACATTCAAGAAGCGAATTTTACTATTGAGCGAAGGGTCTGTAGTTCACCGTTAGCAAGTGCAGTCAGACAATAGCTACTGACGGAAATTTATTTTCCTCACATAATTACTCTTGAAATACTTGTTGGGGTGGAGACCATAGCTTACTTTCACATTCCCATCTCCCTTTTTGCTAAAAGCGTTCGAGTAGTTCCTCTCTTCCTCCTCCGAGACGCCATCGTCTCCTTTTACCCGAAACCTTGCTACGGCTTTTCAGTCAGCAACAGGGTTGGTCACTGAGTCATAAAGTGCCTTGCGGACCGAAAGCATGCTTAGCTTGTGGAATAAGAGTGAGGCTGTATCGCTGGCAAATACGATAGCCATGATCACGCTACCAGGGGCGCGTGACGTTTGTCCGTGTTATAGCATATTATAACTGATTGAACAGTGTAGTCGATGAGAAGTCAGGAGGCAGCGAGCAAGCAATCAAGTGAAGTCACAGCGCGGGCGACTCTGCCACTATGAGAGAAGAGGTGTTTAGAAGTGGACTGGACAAACGTCACATACCCCAGTGAGAAGAAGAGGTGCAAAATAAGTTAACAGGGCAGACGTCCTACACCCGTTGTCGGCCCCAAAAGCTGTGAGGCCTACTGCGCATCAAAAGCAGGCATCGCCAACAACACACTTTTATCAACATTTCTGCACACCGTTCCCACATGTTGAGGAATTCCCCAGCTAAGTTTCGTTGTTCATCCAGTCCGTATGGCGGAAGCGGGAGAGAACTTTTTCTCATGAGTTACCGATACTCCAAGGGGAGCTCTTTTGAGTGCAGACAGCGCTCAAAAGAGCTCCCCTTGGAATATCGGTAACTCATGAGAAAAATTTCGACCGAATTTTAATATTTTTCAAGGAAGGGACCCTCTGTCATTTGCGCTTTTGATGCAGTCAAGTGTAAGGGTTAGATAGCGAGTTGATTCGTACGAACTGATTATAATTAAGGAACACAGTAGGTCCAAGTCCAAGGCGGGTGGCCTCTTTAAACGAAGTTTTTCTCCCAGGTAGAAGTCACTCAAGCGAAAGCGATCGGGCCATTTCAACGCCGTACAGTAGAAGGTACCATCAGGACCTAACTCACAAGGGAGGTCGTTCAGGGCGTGGTGCGCTTTTCGAAAACGGTTTTTTGCATATTGTAGGGGCTCATGCAGGGACCTGAAAAGTGTGCTTCATTTTCGCTGCGCGCTTCCGGGAAGTGTAAAAAACGAGTGAAAACAAATCTGTGGAATCTGCTTCGTTCTGGGCCTCTATGCGGCGTAGGTCACTTGCAACTTTGACCAGTTGCTGAGTGGGGGGTCCTTATAAAGAGGCCGGTTGAATCGAAGCGAAAAATCGCCGTAAGTGAGCTTCCAACTTGGGTCATGTGCTCAAGGGTGAACGGCTTCTTGCAATGGTTTCATCAACTATAAGAGCGGTTGCATAGCCGAGCACCGGATGGCCTAGTGGATAGAGTGGAGGTTTCACAATCGGACCGTGAGGGTGGGGTTGATGGTTCGGCTCCCCTTGCGTCACAACGTTTTGCATTTTTTAGATTTCGCTGTTCTCGCTTCCATTTGTGTCTGCGCATGAATATAACTTGGATAATTTCCATTTATGAGCACATTCTGAGTAGCTCTACCTCATGAGACTGCTATTCAACTATTTCGATTTTCACGCACCATTGAACAAGATTGTTGCTGGACGTTGTTCCTCATAGGCTATACAGTGGATCTGATTACGAATATAGGAACATTTGTGGTGTCAATTATAGACAATTTGGGGCCACATCTCCTTTCCACTAATTCGTTATGTACACCAATGTAGGGAACGTTCAGAGCTATTCTGTCGCCAAATTGCGAGGACGCCAAGAATAGGTGTTACATTTGTGATCAGGGCCACTTATTACCACTAAAAACGAATTTTCAGTCAAAACAATTGTTTTGACCTTCTTGGGTTTACTTGATGGGTTGTCCGGTGTCCGTAGCGTCAACGATACGCATCGCTGTTACGAAGATGTGAAACTTCGCTCATACTGCCGACCAAATGGTCGGCCCAACAACCCGAAAAAGTCAAGAAAAATTTTTTTGCTCAAAACTTGCTCCTAGGGGTAATCGACAGTCCTGATCACGATTCTAGACTTTATTTTCGGTTCCAGTGCCATCTGGCACCGGCATAGTGCCGAAGAGCTGAGTCTGTGCATACTAATGAATTCGAACGAAAAAGCAGTTTTGCTCCATGAAAGTAGGATTGTTCAGTTCATCGTGAATGTTTTTATTAGGAGCAATTATTTAGACAAACATGGATCCAAAAAGTGAAAAATTGTAGAAAAGCAAAATTTTGTCCTCGGTGGGATCCGAACCATCGACCTATTTTTTACGTTTTTCTTTATTCGTAGAAGCGCGCAGCGAAAACGAAACTCAGTTTTCTGGTCCTCGTATGTATCCCTACAATATGCACAAGACCATTTTGAAAAAGCTCACCACGCCCTGAACGACCTCCCTTGTCAGAGAAGAGCCGCTTGTGGTTCCAACAAGTTGTGGCTTGGTGGAGATTCATATAGCGAAGTATGAGTTTGAGTTACCGTTTTGGATATGAGTACAGCGACTGCTTGGGACGATAAAGAAGTTTTTCGATGCTTACTTAACACACCTCCCATAGACCACATAACTGGATCTCGACATGACTACGGGAATGATCTGATACGAGATTCCAAAAATGGTTTGGTTACGGACTTTTGGGACAAACATTATTCTTGGCGCAGAAGCTGACGCTGTCTGTAAGACTAGCTAACAGCTTCAGGTGCCCAGAAACTGGCCAAGAACCCAAGCAGCGTTGGCTCGATCCGCTCCAGACAGACAGAGAATATTTGGAATTCACTAGGCACTTAAAGGCTTTTTTCCAATAAACCCAGGGTATAACCTCTTAAACGTGTCAGGTGATCCGGTAGGCGATTGTAGATGATGCGCTGCATTCGAAACTTGCAAAATGGCACACAAAGCACGGTAAGCATCGATTTTAGGCCCAAGGAGGCCCATGCTTCACCAGTGCCGTTGCACTAATGTCGCTGTGCTCTCACGCCCGTTATTTTCTAGACTCTCTCCGCGCTTCGCAGAGTATCGTCACCTCCATATCACTGCTGATCTTAACCATCCTACTCTCGTCCGATAGTCGTGATCAACTGCAAGGAAGAGGTTCATATTGAGGACGGTTTTTCATACTTTTTTCTTCACTCCTAAGTCAAGTAGCACAATGCGCCCCTCTTTTTGAACCATGCTACCTACGTTGTGCAGTCAAGGGTGCATTCAATTAGGGGAAGTGGCGCAATCACATCAGAATAGCAAACTGCTCTGAGCGGAGCAAATGTTTAGTCGTAAAATAAGTAGTTCGAATCGGGACACATCATCGCTGGGAATCCCTACTAGGAGAGGGTCGTATTTGGCCGTCAAGATGGAGGGGGAAGTAAGCAGTGAGGCAGTCAACACCATACAGCGCAAATGTGTCAGTAACACAACAAAAAAATTAAAATCAACTAACAGCATCAATAAGTTGATATGAATTCGTAAGTATGTAGATGACTGAACAGTACAACCTGAACAAGTCCTTGGATAGGCCATGAATTTTCTGAACCTTATGAGCATATCAGCCTGCATGGAGACATCACGTAGAAGTTGCATTATTCCCCTGGCTCCGCGTGGCAGCCTATGCACGGCGCACTCAGAGAATGGCGCACTCAGGTATGAAGCTATTGAGCGTTGATTGCCTAGCTCTCTTACACGACGGGATCCGTTTTGGATGCATTCTTGAGTGTTCAAATACGCCTGCTCGAAACCGTACACAGGAGACGGGTCGTTTGCGCTGCTGGGACTATCCCCAACAAATGTCCAACGTACAGTTGTCTCGTGTGATTGTCATCCGGGCACTTGATTGGGTGGCCAAGGGCACCGACGCGGCTGCAGCGCGTCGCGACTGCGGCGATTAGCCGTTTCCGGCCTAACTTGGCCATTTTTTCCCTAATTTTCACAGTATGTTCAAGGTAAGTTGCTTTATTGTCTTTATGAAGAACATTAAGACGTGGAGTCCTTTTTTTATTTTTGCAATAGAATGTTTTTGCGTTTTTTCCCGGGTAATTGTTTAATTGTCTGCTTTTACTGTTTGATTGTACCAAAAATCAAAGGAATCTCAAACATAAATTACCTTGTGGTGACTGGAACAACTAAGGTGAGAAAAACAGCCAAAATAGTGTAATTCAGAGAGTAAATGGCTAAAAAGGCTGGAGACAGCTGATCGCCGCGCTCGTCACACGCTGCAGCCGCGTCGCGACCCTTGGTCGCCTAATCAAGTGCCCGGATGACGACTGTATTTATTACATAAACCCGGGAACTTCAAAAAGATGTTAGGTGGTCCTTTGAAAGAGGGATTCTTTTTTTCAGAGCTGTTCTTGTGCTTGCAAACAAATGCGGTAGAGAGATTTACCTTCACTTGAACGGGAAGAACTCGCACGTGATCCCGAAAGTCCTCAATAAATCCCCAACGATATCTCTTCTAAACAGACAACCTTTATAGACATCTCAGTAAAGTTTGGGCAGCTCAAATCTAACTCTTTACAGTCATGTTTTAATTTCCCCAACGGTTATCCTTAAAGGAATATGGCTCTATAGAAATCGGCTACACCTATGGAAGTCTCGGCAAATGTGCCCCAACGCAAATATGGCGCGGAGGCGAGCTCATACAGTATTGAGGGTCTACGGACAACTCAAACTCAGTCCCTTCAATGGCGTCAACTTTCTGTTTTCCTTTGCGCTCTCTTGCCTAATGGCGATTTATGACCTTTCGCATT